AGAGCATAAGTGGAGGGAGAGGGAAGGAGAAGCAGGCTCCCTGCTGAGCAAGGAGCCTAATGTGGGATCCAATCCCAGGACCCTGGGATCATGACCCGGGCGAAGGCAGCCACTTATCTGACTGAGCCACCCAGGTGTCCCTCCCTTGAGTGTTCTTTGTTTCTTCATCCTCCATATTTCCCATAGTTGGAAGTTCATGCTCTAATTTGATTAGATTCCAGGTTATCTTTTTTGCAGAACATTTCATGGTGCTTTTTGCTTCACACTGCATCATGTTGAAAGGCCTGCAATGTCTGGTTGTCCCACTTTTAGTAACATTAGGATTTATCAATGATTTCAGTTGCTGACAATTTAAACCTTCCTTTTACCTAATGGCTTCATACACTGATGATCATTGGTTAAACCAATTATTTCATTTGGGATGAAAATAACATGGCTATTTTCGAATCCATGAAGAGCCACAGATCTCCTCCCCTTACTTGCATGTAGGTGGGCAAGTGTCCCTCCCTGATTGGCAGAAAAGTGGAGTTTTGATCCTTGGAGAGAGTAAAACAGGGGGGCTCTGGCCTGCAGAATCCAGTCACAATTGAGGGCATGCATAGGTAACACACTGAAAATAGTATCTGAGTGAATGTTTATATACAGAACGCTAAGACTGTCAACACTTTCTCCAACCACATGACTCCAGGAGATTGGAAGAGATTGTTTTGAAGGAATCTGATCATCCCACAAGAAGGCACTTAAAAATACCAACATCAGCCTTTCCCAGCAGCAGAGCCAGATCATCCTACAATGTACCTTTCACTTAAGCCCCACTTACAGGTGCCTGGCTCAGTCGGTTAAGCAACTGCGTTTGGCTCGGATCATGATCCCAGGGTCCTGGGATCGAGTCCTGCATTGGACTCCCTGCTCTCTCTCTCTCTCTCAAAAATAAATAAAAAGTTTCTTTAAGCCCCACTTATGTGCTCAGAGTATCCAATTGGGTTTTTAGTTTTTCACTCTTAAACATCAGCAGAAATCTGAAAATTTCCTTTCCTCTGAAGAAAGCTTCTAAGACATTACAAGAATGCAATTGGAAAGAAAGCAGTGGCTATACAGATACGTTTCAAAAACAAGCAAACAAAAGCCCTGTCATTAATATTTTCAGAGTTAAGAGAATATATGGCATCAATGAAATAGCAAAAGGATGCTATAAAAAAAGTGTCAGAAAGCAAAAAAGAGCTCTTGGAAATTAAAAACATGTTAGCACAAATAAAAAATCCAATAAAGGATTAGAAGATAATGTTAAGGATATCTTCTAGATTAATGGGGCAAAAAGATAAGTTGTGGAATTTTTGAGAGGAAAGATAAGACAAATAGAGGATTAGTACAGGAGGTGCAACATCAAAGTATCAGGGCTTCCAGAAAGAAAGAACGGAGAAAATGAAGGGGAAGTAATAATGAGTGAAATAATTTAAAAATATTTCCCATAATTGAAGGACAGAGATTGCTAGACGGAAAGGACTCACGAGTGATCGGTATAAGGGAGAAAAATAGACCCATACTGGGAATAAGCTATCAAGAAAAATACAATGTATGTTCTAAGTATGCCTTGGAATACACCTACACTAAAAAGTGACCATTATTTATTTATCTGAAATTCAAATTTAAATGGGCATCCTGTATTTTATCTGGGAAGTCTACATTGACCTTTTCATTACCAGTAGTGGCAATTCCTCATAATTTCAATTTCTAACAGTCCAGATCACCACTGCTCATCTATCCAACTTCTGATATTCTAAACCCAACAATCACTCAACAATATAGGGACCTAAAATGCATTTATCCCCACACCTTTTTACTATCATTCCATCACCCCCTCAAATCTTCATGTCTTCTCGTCCAGCTTAAATTTCATAGTTAATAAGTTATATTCACTGCTTCACATACATCCTAAATTCCCTTGTTCCTCTTTAAATTTCTTGACCTTGCTTGGCTAAATCACAGTGCTCATTCAGTTCAGTATTGTACCTGTGTAAACCGCACGTGGCTGGACACACACACACACGCAGAGAATAGTCATTTTAAATTTAAGATAACAAACCTCATGGCAGGCCCTTGATGCCAACTATTATACTATATTTCCCTAGACCAGTAGTTCTCAAAGTGTGGTCCCCAGGCCAGCAGTACCAATGTCACCTGGGAACTTGTTAGAAATGGAAATTTTTGGTTGGATTCAACCCCAGACTTGAATTAGAAAATCTGGGACTGGAGCCCTGCAATCTGGAGTTCAACAAGGGTTCCAGGTGAGTCTGATATACTGGGTCTCACATTTTAGCATGAGAAAAATGAGCTGTAATGCTTGTTAAAAGGGCAGTACAATGGCAGCAGGGATCTTAGTAATTTGTGAGAACATCAGCAAAGGTGCAAATGCCAGGAATGTTCATTGTAACAGGTAACATTTCTTGGTTTAAAAAAAAGTCCATGCATACATTAATTCAATAAATACTTATGAAGGGGTATTATGTATCAGTATAAATTTCCAGTAAATGACACTTATGGAATCTAGGTTTTATGGATAATTTGTCAGACTTAAATCACTACACAATTTCCTAAAGATTATTAACATTTATACTTTATGTGAACATAATCTAGTATAAATTCATTTTCAATTATTTTTCACCATTAAAAATAAAACAAATTCAAATTTTATTTTAAAATATAATTTATTGAATACCATAGTGAATTCAATACATTAAAAAAATTGTTTTTCTTATCAGTATTGGCACATAATGAAGTTTTAAAGCACTGCTAAATTAACACCAAAAAATTTTAAATTTCAAATCATGTTCCATAAAAAAATAAAGCCTAGTAGTGTTATAAAACTATTAATTTATACCAACTCACATATCAAAGTGTTAAAAAAAAAAGAATTCCACACTCAAACTGTCCTCTAAGAAGTAAAAATTCAATCATATGAATTTTTAAAAAGGTTCTCACTTGAACAAAATACAACAGGTATAAAATAGGCAAAAACTTTACAATGATTTGTCCTACTGGGAAATTCTGCAGGCTAACCAGATAAACTTTAGATATTAAAAAAATCCATATTCCAAAGGAATAGAAGTTTACAGTATTTTTTATGCCTAATCAAAGAAACATACGATGACATTAAATATTCTTTTTTCTCTTAGTTGCCTCAATTGCCAATACAGGACTGTTCTAAAATTTAGTTTAAAAATAATTTTCCTGCCAATGAATATTTTCATAGATGCAAAGCTGTCCTTAAATATGGCAACATTAAACAAGGAAATTTACATATATGGTGTTCACTATAATATGGCCTATATATTACTCTATCAATCATTTTGTTTACCACGCGTACTACACAATTTCTTTCCAATTCCAAAAGGTTGAGTAATTTGATTTGGGTCACTTGAATTTACAAGTATCTTTCTTTCCAGGAAGCAAAAAGTGATTTATATTCAGTATTTTGATTTTATTTACATAATCCTACCTACCCTCCTTTAGAATTGTCCTCTGAGGTAAAGAGAGCACTGAAAACAAAAATTTTAAACTGCAGAATTGGTTATTTGGCATCGTTTAACTTTTTTCCTTATTAATGGGAAAACATAAGCCCTTTCAAACTAGTGCATTCCACTGGTCTGAAATGCAATTCCTGTTTTTGAAATCTCATTGGTGAGATCATCAAGTTGAACTTCTAGAAACCAAGCTTAAATAAAATTAGTTCAAATATTTTTTAGTCAAACGTAGAAATAATGTTTGCTTATACCTATGGCAGAAATTGAAAGAGCAAAGGAACAGTGGAAAGCTCCTTTGTATTTACTTTAAATGTACCATTTCACCAAAACCTCTGTGGACATGAAACTAAAATCTATAAATGCCAACAGCGGATGGGTTAAAATTCTCTCCCTTCAGAAGTAAATCACCAAGTCTACTAAGGTATTGCTAATCTAAAAATCTACAAGCTAGAAGAAAATATAGTGTATTAGAATATAAAGGTCTTTCACCACAAACCTCTTATTTATCTTTGTTGACCTAAACTGAAGTAAAAAATCACCTACATTACAATTTGAGATATTTAGTTCTTTGTTTGATAAGCTACAAAATGTTCACACTTTTCTAAAAAGTAATAAATTATTATTATCTTTTTGCAATAAGTAATAATACTATATATCCCACTGTTTTAAAGACATATTTAGGAAGAAAACAACTCTCTTCCCCTTCAAGTTATAGGTGGTGGGAGGATGAGAGGGAAAGAAATGACACAGCCTTTTAAAGCCAAGCTTTCATCTCCCTATCTTCCATTCATTTTGATTTCCAAAATAAGATATTTCTGCACTTTACTGTAATTTCTCAAAATATTTTCAACTAGGTTGCTAGAAGCATTCTTTGAATACAAATACAGTTGATATTGAGAATGGAGAAATTTGTGGAATTTCACTTTTTGCTTCTTATTTTCATTTAATTGATAAGATCTTAATAGCAAACTAGAACAAAGATTTACCTCTGATAACTTATGGTTGGATAAAGTAGAATTTGTATCGAAGAACTAAGATTTCAGATTTCTAAATGTAAAATTTTCTTTAACATTCTTCATAAAATGTGGTTGAGGCTTCTAAATATCATAAAGTTGGGATGAGTACAGATAATTTTACTAAAAAAGCTATATTTTGGCAAACATTTTATTGATATTATAAATGAAAATATAGTTGGAGCTTTAAAATGGCACTTTATCTGTTCTATCAATGTCTGCCAAAAAATTAGATTCTTTGGAAAAAATTCAAACTTGATATTATGGAGGCAAAATTAACTCTTACTTGACAGATACTTACCAGTCATTTTGCCATAAACCAAAGGACCCATAAGTATACTAAGTGGAAAGAGGGGCCAACTGTCAGGGAGCTTCTCTATCTACAATTTAGTTAGCAAAAGTTAAACAAAAGCATCTAATTCCCTCAAATAATAAATTTCTTGCAAACATCAAAGATCTGATCCACTTTTAAAAGGCATTAGCTTTATCTTTTAATCAGTTGAAATGGCCTTGAATGAAAGATCACAGATTTGTTCACAATCTTGTACATTACTTACAGAGAAATGCAAAAATCCTGCTGTTGTTGCAATCACTCATCATTTGGGAATTTCTTAAAATAAAAGACAGTAGAAAAATACTTCGACCTCTGACTCCCAGGATAATGTTCAAGGCCACACTGAGATTCAGCAAAGAATGAAAAAGATATTTTTCAAGTTGGAAAGTACTAGAGTGATTAATTGGTCTAACTTATTCATTTTACAGATATGAAAATTGAGATACAAGGGTTTTGGGCTAAGATAATTTACTCAAATTCTTGTATTGTCAGTAAATTAAGACTAACCCAGTCTCCTGTTTTGTCTCCAATTCTTTCCTCTGAAGCACACTTTGTGTATTAAGCCATCCTCCATCAAAATATTAAAAGATTAACATTGGTTTCCTATGGGGAAAGGAGCGGGAATTAGGAAAAAAAAAAGGTGGCAGTTGAGGGGGTGAGAGACTGTTAGGGATGTTGTACTCAAACAATGAGCCACATGTGTTAACACAGAAGTTGATAAAAAAAATACTTTTTACAAAATTTCAAGCCTTAATATCAACAGAACCACACTTCAGAGATAAGAAATGGTGAAACTGAATGTTAGAGTGTAGAAATTTAAGCTACCTCTTCAAGAAAAACAGACCACTGAAAGCTGGATTTCAGTTGCTGTGTCCTTTTAATGACTAGTTCTATATATTGTTCCTTTATATCTGAAAAAATAGTTTAATATAATACACATGCAGACTAAAGTAATTTAGATTTTCAAGTTTAAAAAAAGACTGGGGCTTTTAAAAAAACTTATGCTACAAAAATATGCATTTATATATATTCCCAAATTATATTTTCCTAACCTCTGCAGTGGAAAGGTCCAAAATTTCATCGTTGAACTGCCTTCTAACATGGTCTTAAGCAGTTATTTCTACAGAGCATAAAATTTGCATAATTCTTGACAGTAAAAGCTGTTCAAAAACTCACTTTGACAGAAATGCTTTTGTCTATTACTAGGAGTTGTAAGAAACATTTCAGTAAGAAAGTACAGGGGTGGGTCAAGACAGTTCTTTAGAAAAATATACTGTATATAATAGATCTTCAAAATCACACAGACCATATGCTTTATTTAATGTGAAGGCACAACTTTAACAGTTAAAAGCAAATGTGTTTCAACTATTTGATGTAAGTGTCAGTACCAGCTCTTAAAAATATGTATTTGCAAGCATATCACTGAAGATTCGTTAAGATTGTCAATTCAAAAGTCAATTTAAAAAGTCAAACTCTATTTGTAGAAAATCAACTGACACATTATTGCAGGTCTACATATTATTGTTGGACAATCTGTTCACCAGCAGTCACAGGGTTTTCTTCATTTGTTGCGTAGTCCAGATGGTCCATCACCTAGGCATAAATAAAAAATGTCAGGAAATGCAAAATTTCAACTTGCCCTCAATATTCACTACTTTGGCCAAAGGATTCCCACTTTTTAAAAAAGACAGGGAGGGGGCACCTGGGTGGCTGAGTGGGTTAAGTGTCTGCCTTTGGCTCAGGTCATGATCCCAGGGTCCTGGGATTGAGCCCCATGTCTGGCTCCCTGCTCAATGGGGAGTCTGCTTCTCCCTCTCCCGCTCCTCCCACTCAGGCTCACTCTCATTCTCTCTTAAATAAGTAAATAAAAAATCTTAACAAGACAGGGAGTACTCCATGGAACTGACCACTCCTTTTAGAGCAATGAACTGGTTCAAAATCCAGGCTCCTAAGGATATGGTCAGATTGACATGGAAAGAAAGCCTAATCGTTTGACTCAGGGCCAATCTGATAAATGCTTTCTCTGAATCTTCCACTATATCCATTTCCCAATATGAACTGGCCTTCATGGTAGTGGAAACTCTACCACCAAAGGAAGATATTCCTGATGCTTATTCCAGGATGCAATTCCAGGCAGTGTTCACTGCTAAAGGTGAAAAAACTAAAAATGACCCCACAGGTCACTGTGAGAATACCTGCTACTTTGGGGACAGTGTAACCTGGTTGACACCTTGAACTAACTGTAAAATAATCTAAGAATGATACATGAAATTTTGGAAATACTGTATAATAAACATTTCTACCAAAACCAAATAAACTGAAGGTACTTAAAGGTCAAATGATTCTCTGAAAATAAAATCAAGAATACATTTGCTATAGACTACTCTAGAGGAATTACCAGTTAAACTTTTCTCAAATGGTCACTTCAGCTCTGCTCATATATTTTTTTCATATTTGGGACTGAAGGAAAAAGAAATTGCTTACATGTTTTCACTGTGTTCTTCACATGAAATTACTTAGAAATAGGAAAAAGCACCCATTGTCTTTGTGAAGATTGTCAAAGATTTTTAGGTTAGTGATTTTCAGTACTGTGATGCACATATTCCCTTCTTTATCAAGAATTAGAAGAAAGACCACCAAGGTAAATGTTCCTATTTTTGTTAAGTGATTCTAAAAGCTTTAGTGTTTTTTGGAAAAGGAAACAGTGGGATCACTCCCAAATGGGGTCTCTGACCCTGCCACACAAGAAGACCACCACCACATGAGCTAGGCTTTCAGCTGACAACTGTCTCAAGAAATGGAGACAGCTTATAAAGCCCAAACATGCCAGTACTCTATGAGTCATCTCAAGTCCCCCCAAAATCAGTTTTGAGGTCCTGTATTTGCCAAAGATATCCCCTAGATTAAGACAGTTACATATCCGTAGCACTTCAAGGGGGGAAAACAAAAGCCCAGTTGAGACAGGTAACACATTTATCACACACTTCACCACACGAAACATATGATGACATTGTTGAGGAGTTGATTTTAGTCACCATTTAAATGAGGGAGAGCAAGGAGAAGCATGTAAGATCTATTTAGGTCCCTTCTCTTCTAGCAATTTAGAAGTCCTGGGGGTGAGAAGTTGGAGCTGTGGGGAGAAAGAACGGAGGCAGCCTCAGCAGAAGGGATGGTGGGGAAAGCCTCTTCCTTCCCCAAGACCTGCTTCCCCTGGCAACTGTACCCTACTGAATTCACAGCCTATACTCCCTAAATTATCACATGTCTCTCTTTCCTAATCCTCAGGTACCTCATTGGCACTATAATATAATCCCTAACTATATATATATATAAATGTATTTGTTTAAAAAACAAAAACTTTCAAAATCAATTTATTAAGAAGTAAAGATCTGTACTCTGTATTTACTTTACCAACTTTTCAATAAAAGCAATATAGAAACATGAAAAGCAACCTTGAAATAGGTTTTTAAAAACATAACAAAAATTAATATAGATAATAAAATTGGCGAAGTTGGTACAGTTTTTCGTAATATTTGTAAATAAGAAAGCCAGTTTGGAAAGATGTCCTCTGATATTGGGTCGGCATGCCTGGCATTTACTGATAGTTCTGCTTATTTATAATTAAACCAATCTCAAGAAACACTCTATTAAAACTCCCATTAAAGGGGAGTAACTGGAGAGTTGTTGATACTAAAGCAGTGTTGTTCTAAGTATCTCTGTATTCTGACTTGTCAGTTACACTTGTGACTTCTAAAAATAATTAGAAGCACTAGTGACATTTAACAGAGACAAACCCACTGTTTACTGGATAGCAACAAACTGAACACTTACTTCCTATCGTGAGTAAAATAGCCCATTGGAGGTTGCTGCATAAATCTAACTTCACTGATTTAGTATTAGAAATTAACAAAAAAATCCCCTAAAATGATGATGTCTCTTAGTTATTCTTTATGCCAAAGTAATTAGGTCACTGCTTGATTTTTCTCTCTAGAGAAGAAACACCTTTATTTATTCTACAGTAGTCAGAACTTAAGACTTTGGGTAGAATCAAATGGAACTAAATACAAAAGCTCTTGAAGCATTCAAGAAAAAAAGTTGATAGCAACTAATAGAGTAAGCAGGTTTGAGTTATAGACTATACAATTAAGATTTCCAAATTAGTATTATTTTAGTGAAATCCTACAGAAATGTTGTTTCTTTTGATCAGAGAAATTCATGGAAAGGGCTGAAAGACTCTAAATAAAATACTAAAGTACTTCCCCGAAGTCTCTAAGTTTCAGCGACCAATGGGGTATAATTTCCCCTTTGAAAAAAGCATAAAAAGGCTGTCAAGGCTAACCATGACATTTAAAAGGTCTCTAGGGCAAAGGCCTGCTTTTTACCACCACTATTCTTGCACTCACTCTACTACCAGGCATTGGAGTGAACCAAATGATTAGCAGCATAAACAAGTATGCCATCACCTTAGATTCTAGCTTCATTTTATATTACCTGTTTTATATTTGATTATGTCAAATAGTAGCAAAAACTTTTGGCACTTGCAAAAAAAATGATTATATATAAAAACTGTACAGACACAAATCTAGTTTGATGCTTTAAAAGTGCCTCACTTTTACAAACCCTATATAATTTTGGTAATTCTATGAGGGCTGCTAAAACACAAGCTTATATACATAGACACAAAAGTGACTAAAGGTCAGTGGATTAAGGACCGAACATTACAGTTGCTTTGCATGAAAGATTTCCATAACATTAACTGAGAATTTATAGTACATATAACGCTGTTATTGGCACTGTAGGTTCCTAATACCTAGAAGATAATAACTTAATGAGGGAGGCATACATAAATGTCTATACTACAAGGCAGATGTTAATAAGTATTTAAAGTACAAAGTCCACAAAAAATATGGGGAAAGGTGAACCTAATTTCAACTGGAGAACTCTTGGATATCAGCTTGGAGAAAGAATATTTTGAGTTGGGAATAATATAAAGCATATTCTGGAAACAGGCTGGCAATGCTATGAACATAATGGAGGCAGGGGAGAGGAGGGAAAGGTTATGAACACCGCTGGCCAGAGAGATGAGCTGGGAATGGCCTGAGGGCTGGCTTCAGGGCTGACCCACAGGCCAACCTTACACTGGGTTGATACCTAGTCTCCCTCTGCTTTACTACACTTGTTGAGGTTCCAAGTTATACTTTCAAAGCCTCAGTCTAGCCTTACCTGATCTCATCCACCTGCCCTACCAAGCCCTGGGGTAATCCACCACTATGAATTATAGATTCTCCTACCTGTCTGTAGATCCAACCTCATTTTATGGATGAGGAGACAAAGTCTTCACAGACCAAGTGACTTGCCAGAATGGATTCCAAAGCCTCTAATGTACTGTCCCCCACAAATGGCAACAGTCAAGCTAAATTAAATTTTTGACTTTAAAGGTTGGACAAAAGCAATGAGATTTCCTTTTTCACAGTAACAGGGGAGTAATTTTGTGAAGGCATTACATTCTATAACTTTCAAAAATGCTAGTTTTCTAAAAAAAAAAAAAAAAAAAAGATTCTCTCCTGGCAGCAGTTTATAATATTCTGCAACTAGCTTGACTAAAATTTCAGCATGTGTCTATTCTTCATATTTTAAAATCTACTGCACAGTGGGAAAACGGCTGCATTTTTTTTTTCCTCTGAGGCTTGTGATGGCTATCAAGTCTTTTTGCAAATAAGTTAAAAGAACCAGATTTAACAAAGACCTGAAGATTTAACATTCAAACTGGGAAAATGGAAATCTAATTAAGGAACTGAAAAATAACAACCAAGCCAAGAAACCAAAACAAAAAAACCCGATTTCTATAAATAATAATAGCAAATGCAGTGTTTATGATGTGCCAGGCACTATTCTAGGCAATCTGCATATTTTACAACAACCCTCTGAAGTAGGATGATTATTATTCCTTTTTACACTGAAGGAAACTGAGGCACCAAGAAGCTAAGTAACTTGCCTAAGGTCACGTGGCTAATAATTAACAAAACCAGAGATCAAACTTAGGCAGTCTGGCACCAAACTCCACACTTTTTATTACTATGTGCTATTTTATATTCTGAATGTCTTTACCTAATAAAATTATGAGACCACACTACAAAAGTGAGAAGTGTATAACCAAAGTTGTCTTAACTTTTCAGGTATTTTAAAATAGATTTTCCTACCATCAATTGCCTTATTTAGCTTCCATATCATGTTGTTAAGACCCTGGAGTCAGCCCTGCTGGGGCTATTTACCACTGCTTTGTGCCCAGCTGCAATGATCTTCCCCTTTATAGGTAGAGTGCAGGAGGAGGGGTAGAGGGAGAGGGGGAGTGTGAGGGGGGGAGAGAGAGAGAGAGAGAGAGAGAGAATCTGAATCTGAAGCAGAATCCTTGCTAAGTGTGGAGCCCGATGTGGGGCTCAATCTCACAACGTAAGATCATGACATGAGCAGAAACCAGGAGTCAGACGCTCAAATGAGCCACTCAGGCGCCCCTCAAGATGATGATTTTTAAGAATGAAACTTGGATGGTCCAGGGCAGCATTTGTTCATAGGGAATATAAATGCATCCCTTAGTTGAATTCCTTCCTTAGCTATATCATCCTCTTTCTCCTCAATAAACATCATAGAGAGAAAGGAGAAAAGGTACTATAATATCTTTTATAGGTATTATAGAGAAAATGAGCTTTGGATATTTCCAAAGAAACACAATGTTACTACAGTTACGTCTACATCTTTAAATATTTTTATAGTGTGAGCTGGCATAAAACGATCTCCACACAAACTGTTCAAAGTAGTTGCTCCTTGGGGTGCCCGGGTGGCTCAGTCATTAAGCGTCTGCCTTCGGTTCAGGTCATGGTCCCAGGGTCCTGGGATCGAGCCCCGCATCGGGCTCCCTGCTCAGCAGGAAGCCTGCTTCTCCCTCTCCCACTCCCCCTGCTTGTGTTCCCTCTCTAGCTGTGTCTCTCTGTCAAATAAATAAATAAAATTAAAAAAAAAAAGTAGTTACCCCTAAAGGGATGTGGGGACATGTGGAATAGTTAGAAAAGGACCTTCTATGTTTACTTTAGGCACTTTTGTATTACTTGTTTAAAGAATGTAAATACGCATTACTTTGTAATTAAAACACAAAAAGGAAAATAAAGTAAAAACAGGGTTAGGGCATATGTAAAAATTTTAGTTCATTAACTGCCACTAATAATGTTAACCTATGAGACATTAAGATAAAACAAAGATAATCAGAAGTACTTTAATGAACATCTTTTCACATCAATTTTGCCCAAATTTTTATTTTATTTATTTATTTTTAAGATTTTATTTATTAATTTGACAGAGACACAGAGAGAGAGGGAACACAAGCAGGGGGAGTGGGAGAGGGAGAAGCAGGCTTCCCGCTGAGCAGGGAGCCCGATGCGGGGCTCGATCCCAGGACCCTGGGATCATGACGTGAGCTGAAGGCAGACGCTTAACAACTGAGCCACCCAGGCGCCCTACTTTTGCCCAAATTTTTAATCACTTTCTGGACAATACCCTGAAGAGAAATTACTGGGTCAAAGGAAATGGTAAAATACAGCACATGTGTATGAGAATATTGCACAGCCATTAAAATGATTTTTTACAAGAAATTTAAAAATGAAGTAATACAAACATGCAGTGAAAAAGCAAAAGAGAGAACTCTTTAGAGTATGGTATCATGTACCCACCTATCCATTTACCTAGGAAGGCCCAGAAGGGGATTTAAGTGATTAAATCCTAAGAGTGGCTACCTCTAGATGGTGGAATTATAGGTGGACTTAATTTTCTTCTATTTTTCTACATTTTCAAAATCTTCTGTAGTAAACACTTTTTTTTTTCTTTAAGAGAGAATGTGCGTGCAGTGGGAGAGGGGCAAAGGGAGAGGAAAAAATCTCAAGCAGGCTCTGAGCCCAGCATGGAGCCCAACAGTGGGGCTGGATCTCATGACCCCGAGATCACAACCTGCACAGACATCAACAGTCCGAAGCCTAACCAACTGAGCTACCCAGGCGTCCCAATAAGCACACATTGCTGGGGTGCCTGGGTGGCTCAGTTGGTTAAGCCTCTGACTCTTGATCTTCGCTCAGGTCTTGATCTCAGAGTCCTGAGTTCAAGCCCCACATTGGGCTCTGCGCTGGTCATGGGCCTACTCAAAAAAAAAAAAAATAAAATAAAAAATAAAAAAATAAAAATAAATAAAATGCTTTAAAAGCCGTATTAAAGGGGAAGGAAAATTTTATAAGTAAAAATGCTGGTGATGAAAATAACAAGAAACATACTTAATCCTGTAAGACAGTATGTATACTCTGACAGTCCTGCTAACGTGAAAAATGATTTAATACTGACCCCAAACAAAATTTCCCCATGTTGCTCATCTTCCCTGTCCTAATTTACCTCGTAATTGGTGAATCAGATAAATGTGCCTAATTGTAGAAACCTCTTGCTCACAGTTCTGTCCTGAGTTTTCTCTTCTCCCTCTATGTTCTTACTCATCAAGTATGCTGATGATGCTTCCAAATTTGTCTCTAGCTAGGTCTGTTTCCTGGACATAAGGAGACATTTATTCAACTGCTTATTTCTCTCTCTTCCTGTTGGTCCTACAGGTACTTCATTGAATTCATCATCTTCTTCTTTAAACTTGTGAATGGTATCACTACCTACCCACCCAGTTACCTAAGGCAGAAATTCTGGACTCCACTTCCTTCTCTCCCTATACTGACACTATCACCATGTTCCATTAATTATGCCTCTAAATTTCTCTTGACTTTGTCCTCTTCTGATCTCACTACCATACTAATTCTGGCTACTATCGCTTCTCATTGTAATAGGTGCTTTAAGTTTTGCTCCCTTCTTCAGTCCATTTTGCAGATTTCTTAAAACCCTTAAATGGTCTCCAATGCTCTCAAGATAAGAGTTCAAAGACCTCTTCAACAGTCTTTGGCTTCCAAGACCCTATAGGCTCTTACCCTTGCTTCCTTTGCCATTTTTCATTTCCTGCTGTTACTCAATATTATAGTCATCCTAAACTTCATTCAGTTCCTAGAATGCGCCATGCTCTCTTCCCTCTGAGCCTTTCAAGACATAGTTCCCTCCATATGGAACACATGGCTCAATCTTAAAGTTTCAACATAAATTTAACATTCTTTAAGAAGCCCTCCCTAAGGGCTGCCTGGGTGGCTCAGTCGGTTCAGTGCCTGCCTTCAGCTCAGGTCATGATCCCAAGGTCCTGGGATCAAGCCCCACTTGGTGCTCCCTGCTCAGTGGGGAGTCTCCTTCTGCTTCTCCCTCTGTCCCTCCCCCAACTCATTCTCTCTCAAATAAATAAAAATCGTAAAAAAAAAAAAAAAAAAAAAAAAGCCTTCCCTAAATCACCTTTGACTGTCACAAAATGACAAGCACTGGGTGTCCGATTGCTAGCTTTCATGGCACCCTACCATGACTAAGAAATACAGTTATCACACTTTGTTAGTGACTATCTGCATTCTCTACTAGACTCTAACTTTCAAGAGGCCATGAGAGTCGGCCTGTTACTAACTTGTTCATCTTTTATCAACAGCACCTAAAATAGCACCTGGCTCATAGAGCTGCTCAATTAACATTTACTAAATGAAGAAATATGAAAGTTTTAAGAAAATGATTATGAAGAGCACTTTTTGGGTTGTGACTTTCAAAGGCTAACAGTATGTGTTGTAGGACAAATCTATAAAGATAAAAATCTCTACGTGGGTGTCCTCATGTACAAGTTAAAAGCTATCTTACTAGTTTAGTTAAGGGCCTGTGGCCATAATTCTTTGTGCATAAATATAAGTTGAGACAATGGCATTGTGAGGTAGACAAGGCAGGTATTATCATATTAACCAAATTTCAAAGGAATTATAAGATTTACCCAAAATAATTCTAGACCAGTGCTTCTTCCAAATATAGTAGTCTAACTTAATAAGTTAATCATCTCTTGTTAAATAAAGATGATGCTACAGACCAACCACAAGGTGGATATGAACTTTGAACTGTTTATCTACTAACAGAATTGCAGGCATCCACCCAAAGCACTTCTATTTTTGTTCATGTGACCACTAAGACGCAGGTATGAGGGCAGATGGAGGAGGGGAGTTTGTTGTAATAGGGCAAAGCAGAGCTAACTGCCTCATGAAGGGGTCGATGCCACGTCCCTGACCTTTAATCAGCTAGAGTTTCCCAACCCTCTTTAATTTCAATGGAAACAAACTTTACTGGAATATCAAGAACATTTAGGAAAAGAAGAAAGGGGTTTAACTTCAATGAAGAAAAAACTCAAACATAATAGATTCTGATATCATGATTTTCTCTGTTCCAGGGAAGTCAGTCTTGATCCGTTTAAATCTGAAATGGGTACCCTATTTAATTTAGGTAGACCCATTCAGGTGCTGAAGAAAGTACACATTTTATATGTGCAAAATCTCAGGACTCTTATTATAAAGAGCTAATGTTAGTCTCAAAAACTCAGTACTTAACATAGTATTACTTTTCATGAAGTCTACTTTTGTGTGGATTTGAAAACTCCATGTTGAAATGCTGTTTTGGTTTCCCCTGTTGCCCTCCCACTATTCTTGGTAGTTTTAGCTTGAGTCACCAGGGTTTTGGCAACCAACTGTAGTAGGGATGAGAACTGCTGAGCAGCAGGTAGACAGTAATGGTAATGGTGGAAAAAACCTGGGATATCCTAATAGATGCAAGGAAACTTTGGGGCACATAAAAGCTTTGATATATATATAGGCAGTTCCCAGCCAAAGTTAGTCACTAAATTACATCATAACTTGGTAACTGAGATAGAAGCACATACCTGATAGCCGCTACCTTTCCAGAACTTTTTCATTTCCTTACGTCTCCAAGCAACAACTGAGGCAGTAACAAGCGTGCAAGGAACTAAATAGAGGAGAGCAGGCTGCCCCTTCTTCATCAGCACCAGAACAACAAATGTGAGTATCATGCCAACAGCGTAGGCTGTAAGAACACCAATTTATCAGTCATTTCTACATGCTACCAAAGTGGATTTTGACTCCCTTACTGAAGTGGTGGTTTTCAAATGTTTCTGAGGACATTTTTGTCCTATGACTTTTTTCCTGATTTGGGGGGGGCAGCAAAGCAAGGTTTATTGAGTGATAGCAAAGTGATAATACAAAGCTCCCGAGGAGGGAGGGGACCTGAGGGAATTACCCATATTTTTCCTGATTTTGTTATTTTCCTAGACAGCCATTAGGAGAGACATACATACCTCATTGCTTGTGAAAGTTTGAAAACTGGTTAGTATTTCAATTATAATTACCCTCATCATTAATCATTGACAAAGATAGTAATTCAAAGAAGTCTCCATTATCTGTCACCGTTGAGGATGTTGAGTTGTTGCACATTAAAAAATATGTACCTGTAGGTACTAAAACTTGCTTTGGAAAATCTTCCTCATTTTGATTATATACTTCCTGGACTTCTTCAACAAGTGCATACCAAACATCATCTGATCTTTTCTTCATGACTCAGTGTCTCACCATGAACACAGGATCTCAGAATATTGGAGCTAGCAGAGCCTTCATAGACAGGTCAGTTTACCTCCTGATTTTATGGACGAGGCAATGGAGGACTAGGGAAGTTATGTGAACTGCCCGCAGTTATACAGCACAATGGACAGAGGGCCTTCTTACCTGCCTCTGCACTGAGTGTTCTTGTATTCTATCACACTGACTGGTGCTGGACTTGAATACATTCATGCCCTCAGGCAATACCATTTTCAATAGCCTCAAACTGCTTTTCTTATTTCTTTATAGTTTTTTTTTTTTCTTTTTATCATCTTTTCACTCACTTAGCTGTTCTTGTTGTCGGGTACCTATTCCTAGTAATAGTCTTCTCTACTGCTAGCATACACTTTTAATTTACTGTATTTAACTCCACTGTGGAATTGAAAACCTTGCCAGAACAGTATCTAAATTGCTCTGGAGCAGGCCACTTACCTAGGAATAAAGAACACTGGTATATGGACTTCAAGATACCTGTTTGATATGTTTAGAAGTAAAGTATTTTTTGGCTTGCTTCCTGTTCTTGTCTGTTCTCAATAAGAGAAATAGAGGGATAAACGACAACTACTTCTGCTGTCGCAGGTGAGATGTTATTGTGCCATAAATTCATTTATATAAATACATTGTCATTCATATAGTATTTTAAGAAAATCTAATATTATACAATTTATTGTCTACTTGTGTGCCAGATGCTCTAAGAAGCATTTAAGACATAAAATCTAATGATTTTCTTTCACATATAATTTTTAAACCTCAAAAACTTATGATATGGATAGTAAAGTATTATTTCTTTTTGATGGGAAAACTTGTCTTACTAATTAATGATGAAGAATTAGAATCCAGGACTCTGTATTTTTAGACCTCGACCTTTTCCTATAGACAATACAATTCAACATACTAGAAAAACAAAACAAAAATTTACCAATTGTGGAGGAAACATAGTATATAGAGGAAGAACCAGTCTGAACATCAAATCTTCTACAGTATGCAACCAAGAGGCCTAAAAACAAAACAAAACAAAACAAAAAACCAAAAAACACACCAAACACATTATTTTCTTAAAACAATAACAGCAATACAATTCAACTATTAATTATGGCAACACTACATGCTATATTGTATTTAACATTCATTTTTGCATCATGGGAACATTAAGGTACCTCAAATTCTGGACAAAATTTTATATGATTTTTTAACTTAATGCCATTTTTAAACATTTTCCCAAACCATTAAACAGTCTTTAAAAGCATGAGTTTTTATTAGCTGCTTAATATTCCATGACAGAGAAAATTTTTTTGTATTTTTGTGGTTATAATGTCTCCTCTTTCATTTATGATTTTATTGATTTGGGTTCTCTCTTTTTTTCTTGGTTAGTCTAGTTGAAGGTTTGTCATTTTTAAGATTTTTTTTTTTTATTTATTCATTTGAGACAGAGAGATAGATAGAGAGAGAGCATGAGCAGGGGGAGGTGCAGAGGGAAAGGGAGAAGCAGGCTCTCCGCTGAGCAGGGAGCCGGATGTGGGACTCGATCCCAGGACCCTGGGATCATGACCTGAGCCGAAGGCAGAGGCTTAACCATCTGAGCCACCCAGGTGCCCTAAGGTTTGTCATTTTTATCTTTTTAAAAAACCAACTCTTGGGCATCTGGGTGGCTCAGCTGGTTAAGTGTCTGCCTTCAGCTCAGGTCATGATCCCTGAGTCCCAGGATCGAGCTCTGAGTTGGGCTCCCTGCTTAGCAGGGAGTCTGCTTCTCCCCCTCTCTCTGCTCTTCCCCCTCTCGTGTTCTCTCTCTCTAACAAATACATTTTAAAAAATCTAAAAATAAAATAAAAAACCAACTCTTAGTTTTATTCATCTTTTCTACTGTTTTCCTGTTCTCTATTTCTGCTGTCGTCTATTATTTCCCTCTTTCTGCTAACTTTGTGCTTAGTTGGTTTTTCTTTTTCCAGTTTCTCAATGTATGTGGTTATCACTATAAACGTCCCTCTTAGAACTGCTTTTGTTGCATCCCATAAGTTTTGGATGTTGTTTCTCTTTTCATTTTTCTCAAGGTATTTTTAAATTTCTATTTTAATTTTTTCTTTGATGTACTGGTTGTTCAAAACTATTTTGTTTGATTTCCATGTACTTGTGAATTTTCCAGTTTTCCTCCTGTTATTGATTTCTAGTTTCATACCATTGTGGTCAGAAAATATACTTGGTATGTAATTTCGATCTTCTTAAATTTGCTAAGATTTGCTCTGTGGCCTAACTTGTGATCTATCCTAGAAAATGAACTAAGAGAGTTGCTACACTGGACTTTGCCATGCCAACTCACAAGGCAGAGCTGTTGGTTTCTCTGTCTCTACCTGGCCTTACTACATAAATGAAAGGGCTTTTGCAGAAGAGCTTATACTTTTTAGCCCTTCACAGGCAGTTAGTACAGACAGACTGTAAGAAAAGTGAAGGACAAACTCTCAGCTGATTAAGAAAGACTAGTTATTACTTCTAAGTTATATTATTCCTGGGCTGGGATTAAGTTTATTCTATAGGTAGCCCAGTGAGAATAATACAGAGAAGATACACCATATGCTATATTTTTTGTATTATAATGCCCTGGAAGCTGGTGTTCTGTTTCTTCTCTTGACCATGACCTTGCCTGGTATTCCTAAACCACTTTTCATAACACATAACTATTATTTTAAAATAGAAGTCATAGAAACTGCAATACATTTGGTATTGTTAAACTTTTAAAGAGTTTTGTTACATACTTTCTTGGGGAAGTAGGTCAAACTGATCGTAGGTGCTTCCTCTAAGACACCTTCTGAGCCATGGGAGATATACTTTGGTTGTTACCATTTGAGCTTTATCTTCTACCCCTCAAAATGCTTTTTTTCTATTTTGGTCACTGATCCCAGCTCTAGCAATAGCCACAAATACTTAACACTAAGAATAAGTTAACTTTTAATAGATACTAAACATTTGGCAATTTTAAACCATCAGTATATTTTTACTGAATTGTTACAAACAATTGCTTACCTGGTACAATAATGTCTCCAAAACCCAGTATTGAAACTGGCATGAGGCACACACTCATTACTGAGAAATAGGCCAGCTTTGGTACCCTGATGACTACTGGTAACTGTAATTATGGGGGGGGAAAAAAAAGGGACTAATAAACCTCTTAGGAATCTTTACCCGTATCTCTAAGAAAGGGAAGGATTGATATTAGAGTAATTGTTTTAACATTTTTAAATAGACATTTTAGAAGAAACTGAAATCAGAGAACATAAACTACACACATATATACTCTGAATGCACAGAGAGCTTGAAAGAAATAGATACACAGTTTCGGAAAAATGAAACCCAACACACATCAGGGTTAACACAGTATTAATCCAGTATCCCCACATCTAACCTTTATTTTTTTTTCTTTCCTTTTTACCAAAAATAGGACTCAGGCCTTGAAACAGATTTTTTTAAAAATCTGGATTTTTTTCCCCCAAAGAAGAGTCTTGTCTCAGAGGGTATGATTTAAAGTCCAATGAACATATCTGAAATACAATCCTTACTTTCTCATGGGGAGCTGAGGGTTGAGCAGTGGCTTCCACCAAGTTTCCATCATTCTAGGATGAAACCCAAGTCAATAGGTATTTAATAATTTAGAATAACTAGAAAAGGGCTATATTTTGTGAGAAATAAAGTTTTACAATACCTTAACATGCACTACATGACCAATGAATTACACAGGAAGGCAAAATTATTAACTGGACACACATATATATACTGGTAGCCATTTCCATTTAATTGCCATACCTACCTTTTCATTATTTCCAAAAGGTCCAGCTGCAAGTTCAACCATGATACTCTCGCCATTCTAAAATTGAAGAAGATGAAAGAAATTGCCCAATCATTTAAAGAGAACAACCTACCAGTATTTAAGAATGATTTGATCCCCTGGGTAATGGCCTACAGTAAACTGGTAAAAAATGGGCTGTAGACAGTTTTCCTTAAAAAGTACAGCAAAAGCTGGGGCCATCTAAAACAAAATTCATCAAGCATATTGCTCCATTCATTAGAGCTCAACAATGATCACAAACTAGCAGATAAACCACACACAAATTATTCAAGTGAAGCTTTGGGCACTGATCTATACTGACAACTATAGCTAGCATTTTTGACAGACGATAAATTTTAAGTGCTTGTAGTTACATTATGTCATGTACTATGTGTCCTTAGTCATTTTTAGCAGTAACAATGAATAGAGACACAAGAAATACTGAAATCTTTTGTATTTAGATTTGTAATAAATATTGGTAACTTTATTTGAATAAAAATACATTTGACCTGGGGCGCCTGGGTGGCTCAGTTGGTTAAGCAACTGCCTTCAGCTCAGGTCATGATCCTGGAGTCCCGGGATCGAGTCCCACATCGGGCCCCCTGCCAAGCAGGGAGTCTGCTTCTCCCTCTGACCCTCTTCCCTCCCGTGCTCTCTATCTCTCATTCTCTCTCTCAAATAAATAAATAAAATAAAAAAAAATACATTTGACCTCCTAGCTCCTCACCATAATAACAATGAAGCCAAACTTGAAAAGACCCAGCCCTGAAGAACTAGAGAAGCTTCTCTAGCCTGTCTCCTGTCCAGTTTCAGCCCTGCCAGATTTTTATGTCCCAATCAAAACATTAACCTTAGCTGAATTTCATCCATTGTGTCTGGCTAAGGTCTTTTTATGTGGGCTGTGTGAGGAGCCCCTTAATAGTTCTTTCCTGACAGCCAAGTCTGTTGTGAAGGGGAAACATTTTAAGGTAGCAAATGAAGATTACATGAGCAGCCATCTATGCTTTACATTATGACGAATATATCATCAAACAGGTGGTGGGAAGATAAATAAATGCTGAATTTAAGGAGAATTTGATCAAGTAACTATAATATTTTCCATGTGAGTGGGGAGCATAGGAAAAATCACTTTAGTGTTTTTAAGAGGACTTCACTGACATCTGAGCTGAGTAGAAAGAAGGAGATAATCTCTAGCTAGAGAAATCTTTCCCTCATGTTACACTTTGGGTTACAGAAGGGTTAAGTCACAGGAGTTTAGGAAAATAGACTAATATTAAATACAATTCCTTACAGCAAACTCCCATAATGTGATTTAATTCCCAGATAGAGTTCATTTTGGTTTTTTAATTGTTATTTAAAACACTTAAGTGAAAGCCATCACTGACATCCTCTCCTACATTCAAAGACATCTGAGTAACTACTATTTGCAATATACTCTTCCAAGTTACAAGGGTGGATGGAAGAAAAATGAAGACAGGTTTTTCGAGGTTTTTTTTTGTAGAGAGAGAGAGAGGGAGAGGGGGGCGGGGAGCAGAGAGAGAGGGAGAGAGAATCCCAGGCAGGCTCCATGCCCAGTGTGGAGCCCAACACGGGGCTCGATCTCACGACCCTGAGATCATGACCCAGGCCAGGAATCAAGAGTTGGAGGTTTAACTAACTACACCATCTAGGCGGCCCTGAAGACAGGTTCTTATTACCTATACTCCTGTGGCCACCTCCTCTGCTTACTCATTAAAACTCTGCTAACACCAGAGTTGAAAGACACGTTTAAAATGTCCAATGAGGGACACCTGGGTGGCTCAGTCGGTTAAGCGTTTGCCTTTGGCTCAGGTTATGATCCCAGGGTCCTGGGATTGAGTCCGCATCAGGCTCCTTGCTCAGCCGGGAGCCTACTTCTCCCTCTGCCTGCCACCCCCCCTGCTTGTACTCTCATTCTCTCCCTCTCTTTAGCAAATAAATAAAATCTTAAAAAAAAAAAAAATGTCCAATGATTTTCATTTTGAGTTACTTTCTCAAGTAAGGTCTATAGCCTTAATAAAAACAAACAAACCAGACTGAGAAGGTGTTAAAGTAAATCTACACTAGTGAACTCCAAAGAGCATTTCTAATCTTTTCCACCAGATCAGATTACTAGAAATCACATTCTTAGTCACTGGGAACAAATATGGAAAAAAGAAGATGAAAAATTCTCTAGGCAGAGAATAAAGAAAGAGGCCTCAAAGACATCTTTATTATTATCCTGTATCTTTAAAATTCTGAAACTTTTTATGTGTAGGGAATGCAAACAGTTTGCTGGCAGACACAGTTAACATTTATGAAGTGATACTAGTGTTAAGACTGAATGGAGGGGAGCCTGGGTAGCTCAGTCTGTTAACCATCTAACTCAGTTTTGGCTCAGGACATGATCTCAAGCTTGCGCTGGGCGTGGAGCCTGCTTAAGATTCTTGCTCTCCCTCTGGGACACCTGGGTGGCTCAGTTGGTTAGGCATTTGCCTCTGGCTCAGGTCATGATCCCAGGGTCCTGGGCCTGAGTCCCACATCGCGCTCCTTGCTCAGCGGGAAGCCTACTTCTCTCTCTCCCTCTGCCTGCCACTCCCCCCTGCCTGTGCTCTCTCTCTTTCTGACAAATAAATAAATAAAATCTTAAAAAAAAAAAAGATTCTTGCTCTCCCTCTCCCTGCATCCCCCTTCCTCTAAAAAAACAACAAACAAACAAAACTAAATGGAAAAAAAGTTAAAAGGGTTTAGTTACAGTTCGTATCTTTGTGCCCTGTGTAATATATGGGCCATATGCTATGACCATCTGCTGACTTAAGAGCATGGTTTTTACAGAGAACGCTTTACTTTCACCATGAGACCACTTTGCAGGGACTTATGGAAATATTTTTTTGAACCAAATAAATTGACACAAACTGGGATGGCTTTAGATAGAAAGCTTTCATTAATTGACTTTTTTTGGTTATAATCCATAATACTAATTTTATTCTTTAAAAAGGTTACTTTTGGGCACCTGGGTGGCTCAGATGGTTAGGCGTCTGCCTTCGGTTCAGGTCATGGACCCAGGGTCCTGGGATCAAGTCCCGCATCAGGCTCAGGAGAATTGAGCAGTAAAATACTCGTGAGATAGAAATAGGGACAAGTAGAAAAACGGTAAATAATGAAGAACTACCAAACTCACCCAACACCTCTCCCTTTATTCTGGGAACAGCGTCGCCATTTTATGGAAGAGCTAGTGGTGGGGGTGGGGCTAGGTGAATGAGGAGCTGTCAGCTGCTATGACTCTAACCTCATAGAAAAAGCCAGTCTGGGACAACGAACACAATGGACAGAAGTGGAAAGGGAGAGTATGTGCCCCTGGGTCTAGTTTCTTCTGAGGCCAGCTCCACTTTGGCCTCTATACACAGGCTGGATAGATGAGACCTTTGTGGTATAGAAGGTTTCGAATGCCTTCTGTCAGTTCCAACCAGAAGAAATCTACTGATGGAAGAGGGAGGCTGGAATGCTAGCAATACTCCCTCACACAATGGATTAGGAACCGGAAGCACAAAGCGCTGAGTGACTTGCCAGGATAACAAGGTTACAGAGCTACACTTCAGGTCTTCAGACTTCCAGTGTGGGGCTCTTTCTTAGTCTTAAAATAGGGGGTACAGAAATGAAAGTAGTAGTGATGCATTTTCATTCTTTTTGCTGTTTATATTGTCTACAGCAAAGATTTGTTGTTTTATAATAAGAAAAGCTGTGGCGCCTGGGTGGCTCAGTCATTAAGCATCTGCCTTCTGCTCGGGTCACAATCCCAGGATCCTGGGATTGAGCCCCGCACTAGGCTCCCTGCTCAGCGAGGAGCCTGCTTCTCCCTCTCCCACTCCCCCTGCTTGTGTTCCCTCTCTCGCTTTTTCTCTGTCAAATAAATAAATAAAATCTTAAAAAAAAAAGAAAAGAAAAGTTACTTTAAAATGGACAGGAAGAACATTTATAGATATTCTCATGATCAGCCAGGAGACATTTTTCATTTAGCAGAATGACTTAAAGGCTTAAAAAATCCTCTGTTAAAAGGCTAAGTTCAATGACAATTTTCAAGAGAATTAGTACCCACTTAATGGTAAACATCTGCAAAATCAGTTATCTAAGAGCAGGCTTAAGATTCTCTTCTTTTAGCATGTTTCCCACAGATTTCAAATATATCATACCTTTGTGATGAATGGTGTTATGAAAACAAAAAACACATCATAGAGGAGGAGAAGGCCTAAAAGTATCACACATGACTGTTGAAAAAAGAAAAAATTTAAAGGTCAAACTTCCATGTAAATTAAGAGATTATACTGTTTTGCAAGTACGAATAAATATGCGAAATTACATTTGAACACTATTTTTTCAAAGGCATTTAACGGTTATTACTATTTGTAGTTTTATTCTACAAATCACATTAGAAATTTTATCTTGTTTATCCCATTCTTTAAAAAAAAAAGAATCACTAACTCAAAGAAATTGTTCTTCGTTGATATTTTGTCTGTAAGGATTTTATGAATTTGGCATATTATATAAATGATTAAAAATATTTTAGCTAGCAAATCAGTGGTTGGCTACAGCTGGTGATTAGGACTGACTGCTAAAGGGCAGGACAGAGCTTTTGAAGAGATGAGATATCTATAATTGACTAGGATGATGGCTACAAAGTTATTCATTTATAAAACTTCATAAACTGTAAACTTAAGATGGGTACATTTTGCTACATGTAAATTATACTCAAATAAAGTTGTTTTAAAAAGAAAAGATTAGGGCGCCTGGGTGGCTCAGTCGTTAAGTGTCTGCCTTCGGCTCAGGTCATGATCCCAGGGTCCTGGGATTGAGCCCCGCATGGAGCCTGCTTCTCCCTCTCCCACTCCCCATGCTTGTGTTCCCTCTCTCACTGTGTCTCTGTCAAATAAATAAATAAAATCTTAAAAAAAAAAAAAGAAAAAGAAAAAATTATTTTACCTAGCAAAGCCATATACTTTACCTTGAAGTTGGGTAACTTCAGTGTTTTAATTAAATTCAGACAGAAAGCAATCCCCAAGATATCCTGTAAAATCCAAGCCCACCTAAAATCAAAAGAAATTACTCTATTGGTTTATGTAGTTATTCTTAGATGGGACTTTTCAAAAGAAATTGATCACTAACTTCAATTGTTATGATTTGACTATCTGATTATTAAGCAGCAAGTATAATGACAAAAAACCTCTCATATACTCCATATTTATTAATTTGCTGTCCTAGTAGAATAATGAACACTACTATACTAAGGAAAAGTTGAAAGGCTACCTCAGAACATAATTGGATATAGTACATACTTATCTTTAACCTTTGAACTTATACATGTTTCTTTTGGAAAGGTAGCTCATAACAAAGGATATTGGTGTTAACATATGTCCAGATAGTTGGAATCTAAAGGAAATGAGAGCTATGTAACATAATCTACCAGGAACTGATATGCATAATTATCAACTGAAGCTGCCTAAATTGTATTAAACTTTGCTTCCAAATTTTAGGCTATAAGTGGTTTTGGCCTTTAATAATTTTATTAATAAACCATTAAGAAGTTAAACATTTTTTTCTGGTTACCCTTCCTGCAAATGCACAGATACCTGTATATTTCCTTTTATTTCCTTCCTTACATAAAAGGTAGCATACTCTCTATATAATCTTTTTTCACTTAAAAATACATCCTAGAAATCACTGCATATCAATTCACAGAGATCTTCTTCATCCTTTATAGCCACATTGTACTTCATTGTGTGGATATACCATAATTAAGTATATTTTTGAAGGCTATTTCAGCTTAGATGTTTAAATCATAACACACATTTTCTTGACTATATGACCTTAAATCCATTAGCACAAGATCTGTTTATTTAAGTACTTATTTAGCTTATTTCAAGACTATGGTGTTCTGGGATAAAAGCAAAAAGAAATCTGTAATAATCATAATGCGTAATTACCAAGTAAGACATAAAATCATGCATCCTTAATTTAAAAGCAAATACACTGAACACTCATACCTATCCTCATTTCTAAATACGGCCCAAACAACAGCTACTGCTATGCACAGTCCAGAGAGAAAAATAAGTCTCACTTCAATGCTTTTGCCACGAAACATAATCCTAAAAAACAGATTGAAATAGGTCAGTTTACTCTGTAGGTGAAATATAATGTTCACTTAAACATGGGACATGACAAATGTTAACCACAGTCACAAGAAAGCTACTAAAATATCAACTTAAAAATTCTAATTTAAGTAAAACAAATAATACATCAAGAAATATTTATCAGTTCAATAGAACTGTCTATGATGAAAATGTTCTGTATCTGTGCTGCCCAGGACAGTAGCCACTAGCTATATGTGGTTATTTAGCATTTGAAATGAGGCTAATGAGACTGAGGAACTGAATTTTTAAATTAATTTAATTTTAATTAAATTTTAATAGCCACATGTATATTGGCTTACAAAGGTTTAAAATACCACTTCTACTTTTCCCTGTATTGTTTTCAATTACAAAGACCAATGTTATCAGATTCCTTGTAAGAGATACATACGTGCATCGTCCACATGGTATCTTATGAATGAGTGCAGCAAGACAGTTGTACAGACTCATTGCTGATGCTATGCAGAAAATTGCTATCATAACATAAACTAGAAAAAAACAAGACACTAAATTATATGAGAACAGAAGGAAATGTGATCAGAAAATATTTATACAAGCAACATTAATCTAGCTTTCTTACTGCATCGTGATACTTTCAATGCAGTGACCGTATTATAATCTGAATTGGTTACTAAGCTGAAAATATTTAGATCTTGAGTTTTATTGAAAAGTGGGCATTTTATGTGTTGTTTTAGTTCCATTACACATTGGTAGGATTGCTCAAGGGCTGAAGCTGGCTCTACATTTTCTATCATTCAATGATTCAAACTAACACTAATGTCTGTTAGAGATGTCTATGAAGTGAGCTGTAGGCACTTATAAGTACTTAAATGTAAGGAACGGACAAATTAAGGAAGGAGTAGAAATGCTTTAAAAATGCAGCTTAGGGATGAGAACTGACATCTACCTTAGACATTAACCATGCTATCTATATCTTCCTCTGGTGGAATTTATCTCTAATTATTTGACCTGCAGTAAAACCAAATCCATTCAAACAAACCACTGTTATGATATGAAACTAAGGTAGTTAAATTCACAAATATTTGTCTATATTAGCTATACTTTTTTGAAAATTATTTAAAATTACATCTGCTCTCCTTATTCTTAAAAAGGGGGAGAAATTATTTTACTCTAAAATAAAATATTCTTTTTAACTTTCTCAAAATTTCACAATGGAAATACAAATTTTACCTGACTTTTTCACATTCTACTAAATTTCAGAAAACTGTAACTGTTCTGTAGGTGAGAGACAGTACTCTAGATATAGTAAATCAGGGATTGCCACTTTCTTTCTTCTCCTTTTTTAAATCAATACAGCTTTTATTGCACCTTTAAAATGTCACAGAAAAGTCTGAAAAATCATCTGGCATCTTGTTATTTCTGCAGCTGGACAACTTAGATCTTTTTCATGAGTCTGCAGAACTGTTCCTTTTTCAGAAACAGATACCATCCCCAAATTCTCTGATATCCTTGTTTTTAACTGTTGGCCACTTTCTAACTGGTGAACTTGGACAAATTACTTTTTTAGTCCCTTGTTATTATTTGTTATTTATGATTACTAGTTATATATGGTAATGTGAGCAGTAAAAGAAAGACAAAGACTGCCAAGTTATGTTTGGTAAGTCATCCACCAAAGGTCGCCAACCCAAGTTTTAAAAGTTAGGTAGAAAGCATGTTCTTGAGACCCTAACAGAGTTTTGGGTATTTCATTCAATGTCATAGTATACTAGGAAAATGATTAGGCATGAGAATGCGTCTGGTTAATATAATCATCTTTAGTTACTTTCTTGAGCATGACTTAACATAAAATGGTAGGGGGAACCTTAGCAATTTGATATATTTCGTATATTAAAAATGGCAGCAACTTTAGCCATTAGGAACCATTTGGAGGTACATTAAATCTTGCAATATCACATAGATTTTGTAAGAGTCATAACAAACTCCCATGTCCCAGGATAACCATGAGGTTTAATGACCTTCCTTCTACACAAAAAATTACATTTATAAGCAAGGTCAACTTTTCAAATACCGGTAAGTTTAAGAAAATTTCTCACCAAAAATGAAAATATGTTTTAGGGTAAGGTAGAGGAATCTCTTTTTTCTATCAAAGATCACTAATTAATTGACTGAGGGTCAGACACAAACAACTGAAGGCTAAGTATTAAATTAGAAAAATTAGCTGCACAATGACAATACAAATAACTATCCTAGTATCTACTCTCCCAGCAACAGATTGAAATGAGTGACATTCAAATAATTTTTTTCTAATTGGAAATATAGGTCACAGGTCTAGTTTTTAATGCTGCCACAGGACAGGAGAAATTGGACAATAAGTTGAAACTAACCCGAGTGCCTCAGTTTTCTAGTCCAGAAAAATCGTGCTAATGTTCTCCAAAGAAGCACTGTAGCCTGTGGTGGTTTTTACAAAGGGTTTTTGCTAGTTCCTACCAGGCACACTTCCCTTTTCCCCAGCGCCTCCTCTTTGTGCTGTGCATTGGCCAGAGATAGCAAATTTCCATTCTTTCAGACCACTAACACCCAGGGGATGGGCAAGCCCTTACAGTTCCTACCCCTACCTTCTTAAAAGAAAAGTACCCATTATTACTTAGACCATAGGCAAGTACTTGTGTGTCTTTAGATGTAGCAGGATCTTGACTGTTTACACAAGTCCAACAAAATTTGAGGAATACATCTTGTTTGGTACACTGACAAAAGAACAAAGCACACTTTGGGGGTAAGCAGAGGCAATAAATTAGTAATCTGAATAATCTTCTATTTCGTGTAACTAAATATAGTCACCAAGAAGTCCTTAGTCTGCTGCTTAGATACTGGGCTCTCCAGCTTTATCTGCAGAGATGGAAACTTAGGGGCCACAGCAGTTCTTTCAAGTCATCCATGAAGAAGTGTTCTTATCTCAAAGACATAGGATACTTTTAATCTGAGTATTTTTTATCCCAGAGTGATGCGGATCCAACACTTCTGACAGTTTAAAAAGTTAACATCACTTAATTATTTGCTTAAGCTTTCTGGGCATAATACCTTAAATCTAGTGAAGCAAATAAAAAACTTGTAGGCTGAAAGCAGCAAATATAAAATATGACTTCTTACCCAACCATTTGTAGAAGAAATAAAGTAAGACCATCATAACACAGCACACGACCACAAATATTACAACTGTTAGAGGACTAAAAGTTAAATATTCTTCCTTCTTTCTCCTCATTTCTCTGTCTTCAGTGTTTGTCACTGCCTTCATGCTCTCCCTGTATAAACATACACAGGAACTTCAGCAAATCTCTGCCAAGTACAGTTATTTTTAAAATCTATTTCCAATATGAACTTAAATTTGTTTCTGATTACAAATATACTTTAAAAAAAAAGAGCATACCAAACAGAAAATAACTTCATCTAGAAAGTAAAAGGTCCCTATAATTCTACCCTCCAGAGATGATCTGTTATTAACCACTAACTTTTGAAACAGCAATTTTTCTGGAAGTGAAATTGTTGAAGCAGATGATATTTATCATATAAATAAATTAATGTCTGGGGATGTTTATATTATCTAATTTGAAAACTATATTGATGTAATAAATTTCAGATGATAATGAGGTTCTTTTTACCCTAACTACCAACTTACAGATAGCAAAGTACTTCTAAAATTAGCTTCTCTTAAATGTAAACACAAAATTCTTCTTTTAATCAACTCAGTACTTACTGGATGCCTGTTCTGTGCTCATTAGTGTATTATGAAGGAGTCAAAAGAAGTTCAAGACATAGCTTTGTCCTACCTTGAGTTAAGATAACAAAATATTGTTTTTAATTCTCTCAACAACGCTTGCTAAGTCACACAGCTAATAAAAGGCAGGGATAAAAGTTGAAGAGGAAAGAGTCAGTCATGTCCTTTGTTGAGCAGTCTCTGTTCTGTCATCATATTGTCTCTTCCCAGCTATATGGAACCTACTACATACTCTTCCACCTTCAGTCCCTTCAACTCTGACTTATTAAACTCTCATTCCCTTGGCATACATCCTGACCTTTCTCATCAGGTCTAGGCTTAATATAAACTTTAGGTTAAAAAAAAAGTTTATCTCTATCAAATTATACATTTGCCAGACTGCTTATTTACCAACATACCACCTTCTTATTAGAAAATTGTTAATTGGGATGGTCACTATATTAAGCATCTGTGACTCTAGGGAGGCTGCCTGGGAAAAGAGTACGGAGAGGGTCTGGGGACAGTCCACATTCTAGCACATTCTAGCAACTGCAGAGCTGGATGACAGAGTATTGAACAGAAGTGTCAATGAAAGTACTATCTGAGTGGGAAAAGGTGCCAACTTTTGGTATCTGTCACTGCAAACAGATATATTTAAAGCTATTTTTATTATAGTGAAAAATTTATATATTCACATATGTCATAGTGAAAGATTTATATATTCTTATTTAGTATACCAGTTCTCCAGGTAGAATGTTTTAAAGGAAGAGATAAGGGTGGCTGGGGTGGCTCAGCTGGTTATGCATCTGCCTTCGGCTCAGGCCATGATCCCAGGGTCCTGGGATTGAACCCCACATCAGGCTCAAAATGTCTCCAAAATGACATTAAGTATATATCTATCAATAATTACTTTGAATGTAAATGGATGAAATGCTCCAATCAAAAGACATAGGGTGAGAGAATGGATTAAAAAAATAAGATCCATCTATATGCTGCCTAACAAGAGACTTCATAAACTCAAGCTTCATAAACTCAAGATAGCATGAAAGAAAGTTTAGCTTTCATTATATCTGGCTCTTGAGCTAATTAGGAGTACAGTGTTTTAAAAAGATGAATTGTAGGGACCACAACCTGAGCTGAAGGCAGACACCCAACAACTGAGCCACCCAGGCGCCCTGAGTTACTTGTTTTATAACCAGAAGTTTGTACCTTTTGACAATCTTCACTCATTTCACCCACCCTTAAATCCCTGCCTCCCGCAACTACCAATCTGACTCTCTGATCTTTGAGTTCCTTTTCTGTTTGTTTGTTTCTACCTATCAGTGACATTATACAGTATTTGTCTTTCTCTGTCTGACTTATTTCATTTAGCACAGTGCCTTCAAAGTCCATCCATTTTGCTGCAAATCCTGCTTATGTTCTTAATCATTCTTCTTCTTACAGAACTTGTTTCCTTTTTGTCACTGATTCATATTCTCTTTCCTGTATTCTATATACACCCCTCCCCAACCATTCCCACACATACACTTAGTTCTATCTTTATCCTACTTTTAGAATCAGCCACCACAATTTCAAAATCCATAATCTTGAAAAAGAGAATTTTAAAAACAGCAAGACAAAACATTTATATACAAGGAAAACCCCATAAGGTTATCAGCTGATTTTTTCAACAAAAACTTTGCAGGCCAGAAAGGGTGGCATGATATATTCAGAGTACTGAGAGGAAAAACTCTGCAGCCAAGAATACTCTGTCCAGCAAGGCCATCATTCAGAATAGAAGGAGAGATAAGGAAGTTCCCAGACAAGCAAAAGTTAAAGGAATTCATCACCACTAAACCTGCTGTACAAGAAATGTTAAAGGGGACTCTTTGAGTGGAAAGGAAAGACCATAAGTAGGAGTAAGAAAAGTAGGAAGCACAAAAGCAGTAAAAATAAGTATATATATAAATATCAGTCAAGAGACTCACAAAATAAAAAGATGTAGAGTATGACACCACATACCTAAAACATGGGAAGTGAGGAGAGTAAAGAAATGAGTTCAAACTTAAGCAACCATCAACTCAATATAGACTGCTATACGCAGATGTTACCTACGAACCTAATGGTAACCACGAGTCAAAAACCAGTAAAACAAATGCAAAATATAAAAAGGAATCCAAGTATATCACTAAAGAAATCCAATTAATTGTGAGAGAAGAGAGCAAGAGAAGAAACACAGAACTACAAAAACAACAAAAATAAAACAAGTAACAAAAATGACATTAAGTACATATCTATCAATAATTACTTTGAATGTAAATGGATGAAATGCTCCAATCAAAAAACATAGGGTGAGAGAATGGATTAAAAAAACAAGATCCATTTATATGCTGCCTAACAAAAGACTCATCTCAGACCTAAAGACACAAACAATTGAAAGTGAAGGGAAGAAAAAGCATTTATCATGCAAATGGGTATGAAAAGAAAGCCAGGGTAGCAATACTTATATTGGACAAATTAGACTTTAAAATAAAGACTGTAACAAGAGACAAAGAAGGACAGTATATAATAATAAAGGGGATAATCTAACAATAAACTATAACAATTGTACATATTTATGCACCCAACATGGAAGCACCCAAATACATAAAATAGTTAATAAACATAAATAAGTGATAGTAATACAATAAGAGCAGGGGACTTTAACACCCCACTTACATCATAGAACAGATAATCCAAACAGGAAATCAACAAGGAAACGGTGGCTTTGAATGATGCACTGAACCAGATGGATTTAACAGATATATTCAGAACATTCCATCCTAAAACAGCAGAATACACATTCTTTTCAAGTGGACATGGAACATTCTCCAGAACAGATCACATATTAGGCCACAAGTCTCAATAAATTAAAAAAGATCGAAGTCATACCATGCATCTTTTCTGACCACAATGCTATGAAACTGGAAATCAACCACAAGAAAAAATCTGGAAAGACCACAAATAACATAGAGATTAAAGAACATGCTACTAAACAATGAGTGGGTCATTTAAGAAATCAAAAAAGAAATCAAAAATTACATGGAAACAAATGAAAATGAAAATAAAATGGTCCAAAATCTTTGGGATGCATCAAAAGTTGTTCGATGAGGGCAGTTTATAGCAATACAGGCCTACCTCAAGAAGCAGGAAAGATCTCAAATAAATAATCTTACACCTAAAAAAGCTAGGAAAAGAAGAAACAAACCAAAAACCAGCAGAAAGAAGGAAATAATAAAGATGAGAACAGAAAGAAAGGAAATAGAAACCAAAAAAAAAAACCAACAGAATAGTTCAAAGAAACCAGGGGCTGGTTCTTTGGAAAGACCAACAAAATTGGTAAACCTTCAGTCAGACTCATAAAAAAAAAAAAAGAGAGAGAACTCAAACAAAATCACAAATGAAAGAGTAGAAATAACAACCAACACCACAGAAATACAAAGGATTGTAAGAGAATATTATAAAAAATTATATGGCAACAAATTGGACAACCGAGAAGAAATGGATAAATTCCTAGAAACATATAACCTCCCAAAACTGAATCAGGAATAGAAAATTTGAACAGACTGATTATGAGCAATGAAATTGCATCAGTAATCAAAAAACTCACAACAAACAAAAGTCCAGGACCAGAAGGCTTCACAGGTGAATCCTACCAAACATTTTTTTTTTAAGATTTTATTTATTTATTTGACAGAGAGAGAGAGAGACAGCGAGAGAGGGAACACAAGCAGGGGGAGTGGAAGAGGGAGAAGCAGGCTTCCTGCTGAGCAGGGAGCCTGACACAGGGCTCGATCCCAGGACCCTGGGATCACAACCTGAGCTGAGGGCAGACACCCAATGACTGAGCTACCCAGGTGCCCCAAATTCTACCAAACACTTAAAGAGGAGTTAATACCTATTGTCAAACTATTCCAAAAAACAGAAGAGGAAGGAAAGCTTCCAAATTCATCCTATGAGGCCAACATAACCCTGATACCAAAACCAGATAAAGACACTATAAAAAGAGAACTATAGACCAGTAACTCTGATGAACATAAATGCATAAATCCTCAACAAAATACTAGCAAACCAAATCCAACAATAAGTTTTTAAAAATCATTCACCACAATCAAGTGGGATTTATTCCAGGTTTAATATTTGCAAGTCAATCAACATGATACATCACATTAATAAGAGAAAGGGTAAGAACCATATGATCATTTCAATAGACACAGAAAAAGCATTTGACAAAGTACAACATTGATTCGTGATAAAAACTCTCAGCAAGGTAAGTTTAGAGGGAACATACCTCAATATAATAAAGGCCATAATCATACTCGATGGTGAAAAACTGAGAGCTTTTCCCCTAAGGTCAGGAACAAGACAAGGATGTCCACTCTCACTATTTTTATTCAACATAGTACTGGAAGTGCTAGCCACAGCAATCAGACAAGAAAAAGTAGTAAAAGGTATCCAAATTGATAAGGACGAAGTAAAACTTTCACTACTTGCAGATGACATGATACTATATATAAAAAACCCTAAAGACCAAAAAACTACTAGAACTGATAAATGAATTCAGTAAGGTCACAGGATACAAAATCGATTTACAGAAATCTGTTGCATTTTTATACACTAATAATGAAGTAGCAGATGGGTGCCTGATGGCTCAGTCAGTAAGGCATCCAATACTTGGTTTTGGCTCAGGCAGGATCTCAGGGTCCTGAGATTGGGCCTCCCGTCAGGCTTTATGTCAGCATGGAGTCTGCTTGTCCCTCTCTCTCCCTCTCTGCTTCTCCCCATGCAATCTTCTGTCTCTCAAATCAGTAAATTAAATCTTCAAAAAAAATGACGTAGCAAAAAGAGAAATTAAGAAAACAATTCTACTTACAATTATACCAAAAATAGTAAAATACCTGGGAATGCACTTAACCAAAAAGGCCAACGACCTGTACTCTGAAAACTATAAAACGTTGATAAAAGAAATTGAGGACAACACAAACAAATGGAAAGATATTCGTGCTCATGGATTGGAAGAACCAATATTGTTAAAATGTCCATACCACCCAAAGCAATTTACAGATTTAGTGCAATTCCTATCAAAATAGCACCAACATTTTTCACAGAACTAGAATAAACCCTAAAATTTGTATGGAATTACAAAAGACCCTGAATAGACAAAGCAATCTTGAAAAAGAATAACAAAACCGAAGATATCATAATCCTAGATTTGAAGATATACTATAAAAACTGTAGTAATCAAAACAGTATGGTACTGGCACAAAAGAGGACATACAGAGAGCCCAGAAATAAACCCACGATTATATGGTCAGTTAATCTTCGACAAAGGAGGCAAGAATATGCAATGAGAAAAAGTCTCCTCAACAAATGCTCATGCTCGCTCTCTCCCTCTCTCTCGTGCTCGCTCTCAAATAAATAAATAAAATCTTTAAAGAAAATTAAAAATAGAATTACCATATGATCTAGAAATTCCACCACTGGGTATTTACCCAAGAAAATGAGAAAACACTTATTTTAAAAGTGTCTATTACAGGGGCGCCTGGGTGGCTCAGTCGTTAAGCGTCTGCCTTTGGCTCAGGTTGTGATCTCAGGGTCCTGGGATCGAGCCCCGCACCGGGCTGCCTGCTCAGCGGGAAGCCTGCTTCTCCCTCACCCACTCCCCCTGCTTGTGTTCCCTCTCTCAATGTGTCTCTGTCAAATAAATAAATAAAATCTTAAAAAAAAAAAGTGTCTATTAGATTATACAATACAATTCAATGCATTACTTAGTGCTCATCAAGATAAATGTACTCTTTTTTTTTTTTAAGATTTTATTTATTTATTTGACAGAGACACATTGAGAGAGGGAACACAAGCAGGGGGAGTGGGAGAGGGAGAAGCAGGCTTCCCGCAGAGGAAGGAGCCCAATGTGGGGCTCGATCCCAGGACCCCGGGATCATGACCTGAGCTGAAGGCAGCCGCTTAACCAACTGAGCCACCCAGGCGCCCCTAAAATAAAAATTTTAAAAATTTCATAATCCTGCAGGTAAAGAATTCCCTCTCTCCCAACCTGGCTATGAAGGTAACAAATCTCTGTTTTTGTCCATCATCATGTTTTATGAATAAAAAAGCTTATACATACTCCTCTCCCAACTCCAATTTTCTTGAGGAGGAGCTTGCCCTGACATGTATACAAAGCTTGCCTTGCTAACTCAAAGTGTGGTCTGTGGGCCAGCAAAATCACTTGGGAGCTTCTTTAAAACGTGGAATCTTGGCCCCATCCCAAGCCTACTAAACCTAAATTTTCATTTTAATGAGATCTCAAGACACTTTGTATGCACATTACAGTTTGAAAAGCACTACTCTAGAGAAGAAACAATTTACATAAATAATTTATAATATATACAGAAGTACAGTGAGAATATATATTAAATGGCAAAACGTTTTCAATGAATCAGTAGCTCTGGGGAAATTATAAAGTTTCACCAAATAATTAGAAAATGACCTTGGAGATCTTACATGCTATGCTTTATAGAGATTAATAATGAAGACAATGCTTACTCACATGAAAATATGTGACGGATATATATGTTGATACACGTTTTCCAATTATGGAAAATATTTAAAGCTCAATACTCTAGAAACCTACACTTGTTAAACCCTAAGATTTTTCTCCTGACATGAGTCAATCAAATTTTATTTTGAGAAACTATAATTTAGCTTAACTTCATTTAGTTGTAAATAAGCCCTTTTTAATGAAACCTACAGATCGATTCATAAAATGAATATATTGTCCTTTATGCATCAAATATGCTCTGTGCACATTTTTAAATTCAGAGTTATAAATATGAACTGATCCTTTCAAACAATGTTGCCTGCTTTCACCCAGAGCCAAAGGTACATAACTGTAAGAAGAACCCGCTTTAGGTTGTTACTAAACAGGAAATCTAAATTTTACATAATTTGGAATTCCTATATTTAAATTAAAATATGAACATGCTTCATAGCCTCAGAATTCCTAAAGCATTAAACAGAATGATGAGGTCACATTGTAATGACTGCTCTCAGGAGGAGCTGAAATCCCCTGCCCCACCTTCTCTTGCTTATTTTCTTCCAATCCAAATAAACAGGCCCACAAGGATACCAAGTATCTTCATCTTTTCTGGGAGAGATAATTAAACAATTTTAAAAAGTCTCTGATGTAATTTCAATGTTCGCCTACCAGCAGGAGAGTTAGAGGAAGCTCTAACTTCCTTTTCAGTGAAAAGTTAAATGACCTACAGGAGGACAAACCTGCAATCTGACCTTAATAGCATTGTATTCTGAGGTCAGGTAAATTTTAAATGTTGTTACATGATTAAACTGAGTATCAAACAATAATTTTTAGCCATTTATCACAAAAACACTAAAGTTTAATTAAACTTACAATTCAATTAGTCCACTCCAGTATCCTCCTAATGCCACAGTGAACACAGCAATTACAAAAATAACCACCATAGTATAGTCAAAGTTAGGCCACGATGGAGAATACATTTTCACAGTAATGTTATCTCCAAGAGTCTGAAAGATAAAATAACAAAAAACCAGAATTAGTTTTCTTTCTCTTCTAGTGGATGGTAGCAATATTCCAATTTCACTCTGAAACTGATACTATAGAGTCAAGAACACTAGAATCATTGTTGGCAACATGATATATTCTCGTCAGAATTATGAGGCTATGCTTTGGTTTATTAAATCTTGAAAGTTCGGTGTTTCACATAGTCACACACTGTTCAGGGATTTAAGGGTAAGATAAATGATGTAACACAGAGACTGTTAAAGAAGTCAAAACAAATAAATATCCTTTCTAAAGTCAGGGCTTGGAAACACCTTGTGCTCACTGAGAGGGGAACTCTTCTCAAAGACATGATAGGACTTTATAGCTTCTCGTTAGCAAATGGAGCATATATAATTTAAATTAAATATCAGTGGTTAAAACTAAAGAATTGTATTACGTATAAACTTTGTATAGTATGTAATTACTATTTTACCTGCTTCATATCTATAAAGTCTTTGCGGCTTATAAATGCAATCAGTATTTTCACATCATAAAATTCAGATTTGTTCCCTGAGGGAGGAAACTAAAAGAAAAAAAAAACATATAATGGCAACTTATGAGCTACTAATATATTTACAGAATAAAACACAAATTATTCCTTTAAATATAAGTATTATATCTTTTTTAAAATTATAAAACCAAGTTTCCTATGTTCTTTCTTGATATTATAGTAAGAGTTCTCAAACTGGAATCCTTTTAGCATAAACTTAAACTGACTTACATACAGGTATACATATGTGTGTGTGTGCATGTGTATTACACTGAAGTTTAATTAAACTTAAACACACACGTTCCTAACAAACTCTTATTCACTTTAGAAACAGAAAAGAAATTACAAAGTTTCCAATTAAATGCTTATCACAGCGAGAATGTTTATTTATTTTTAAGTTTTTATTACTATTATTTTTTTTAAGTAGGCTCCACGCCCAGCATGGAGCCCAACATGCGGCTTGAATTCACAACGCTGACATCAAGACCTGAGCTGAGATCAAGAGTCAGATGCTTAACTGACTGAGCCACCCAGGCACCCCCAGAATGTTTATTTTAAAAGAACCCTACTATCAGATTATTCGAAGCTCAGCCCCTAAACTACACACCAAAAAGGTAGTTCAATACTTGTGAAACATGATATATATCATGAGCTCAAAAGTTAGTACTAAGTTTTAAAACTTACTAGGACACTGTTATTGGCAACCAACAATGCTTCAGCACCTCCTTTTTGTGCAATTCTGGCTTTTTCAAGAATATGGCAGGTCCCCCACTGTACTACAACTGCTTTGTTCTTTATTCCATCAGGTGGAATATCAGAAAGGTTGCACAGTGGTGTGGTAGTCAGATTCATCAAACTGATGGAAGTCTGGAAAGAAGAAATGTTTTTAACATAATAAACATCGTAATTCACAAAAATGTACTCCGTGACAAAGTATCAATATTGGTTTAATACCAGGTTCTTTTAAATTAGAAATGGTTTATGACAACCAGGCTTTCAGGTAAGTATTTTATAATTCCCTAACTTGTTTTTCCCACAAGAGAAAAATACTTAAGTCAAAACAATAAAATTGTTATTGTTTATTGATCATTATATATTACAACTAGTTCACACACTAAAACATAATAATCACTCATTCTCACCTTTCAATAATTTTATGTTTATAAATAAATGGTAACTGTGATTTACTTACTGCATTTTCCAGGGTATTTGGAAGAGCTGTCCAATGAGGGTTATATAGCATGCAGTAGTCCTTAGATGGTAAAGGTTTGCCATTTCCAGACGCGTGCAGGATTGCTTCCTGAGCAGCTGTCTAGGACACGAATAATAATTTTCACACTGGTAATGATTTGGTTTGCCAATAACTAAGGATTTTAATAATGCTATTTATAAATAGGTTTGGCCACACTTCCTTAAGAGGGAAGGTCTTCCAATGAATTTATTTCTTCTTGTTTGAGGAAATATTAAAATCATACACATTCACCCAGAACACATTCTTTTAAGGAAAATAAGTTACTTTCTTACGGGGACACAATTATGGCCCTTGGGGCCATATCCCACAGAAGACTGTTGCTATGCGCTAACTTTAATACTTCCTTCACACCCTGAAACTTTCCTTCCCAATCTCTTATGAGTTATTACTTCATTGTTTATGTAGCATAAAAGAAAATGCACTTGAAATCCCTCAACTCGTCCACTCTCACACTGTTATTTAACAATAACACATTGTTATTTAAAATTGTACCATAAGTCCTAGTCTCAGCAATCAGACAACAAAAAAGAAATAAAAAGCATCCAAATTGGCAAAGAAGTCAAACTTTCACTATTCGCAGATGACACGACACTCTATGTAGAAAACCTAAAAGACTCCACCAAAAAATTGCTAGAACTGATACACGAATTCAGTAAAGTCACAAGATACAAAATTAATGCACAGATATCTGTTGCTTTTTTTTTTTTAAGATTTTATTTACTTAGAGAGAACACAAGCAGGGGGAGTGGCAGGCAGAGGGAGAAGGAGAGGGAGAAGGGGGCTCCCCGCTGAGCAAGGAATCCATGCAGGACTCAATCCCAGGACCCTGGGATCATGACCTGAGCCGAAGGCAGACACCTAACCAACTGAGCCACTCAGGTGCCCCATCTGTTGTCTTTCTATACACCAATAATGAAGCAGCAGAAAGAGAAATCAAGGAATCGATCTCATTTACAGTTACACCAAAAACCATAAGATACCTAGGAATAAACCTAACCAAAGAGGTAAAAGATCTGTATGCTGCAAACTATATGAAAGAAATTGAAGGGGACACAAAGATATGGAAAAACATTCCATGCTCATGGGTTGGAAGAACAAATACTGTTAAAATGTCTATACTATCTAAAGCAATCTACAGAATCAGTATAATCCCTACCAAAATACCACCAGCGTTTTTCACAGAGCTAGAACAAACAATCCTAAAATTTGTATGGAACCACAAAAGATCCTGAATAGCCAAAGCAATCTTGAAAAAGAAAAGCAAAGCTGAATGCATCACAATTCTGGACTTCAAGCTCTATTACAAAGCCACAGTCAAAAATACAGTAATGGTACTGCCACAAAAACAGACACACAGATAATGGAACAAAACAGAAAACCCAGAAATGGACCCACAACTATACAGTCAACTGATCTTCAACAAAGCACGAAAGAGGGGCACCTGGGTGGCTCAGTGGGTTAAGCATCTGCCTTCAGCTTGGGTCATGATCTCAGGGTCTTGGAATTGAGCCCCACGTGGCATAGGGCTCCCTGCTCAGCGGGGAGTCTGGTTCTCCCTCTGCCCCTCCCCCTACTTGTGCTCGCTCTCTAATATATAAGTAAAATCTTTTTTTTTTTAAAGATTTTATTTATTTATTCATGAGAGACAGAGGAGGAGAGAGAGAGAGAAAGAAGCAGAGGGAGAAGCAGGCTCCCAAGGAGCAGGGAGCCTGATGCGGGACTCGATCCCAGGACCCTGGGATCATGACCTGAGCCGAAGGCAGACGCTTAATCATCTGAGCCACCCAGGCGCCCTATAAGTAAAATCTTTAAAAAAAAAGCAGGAAAGAATAGCCAATGGAAAAAAGACAGTCTCTTCAACAAATGATGTTGGGAAAACTGGACAGCAACATGCAGAATGAAACTGGACCACTTTCTTACACCATACACAAAAATAAATTAAAAATGGATAAAAGATCTAAATGTGACACAAGAAACCCATCAAAATTCTAGAGGAGAACACAAACAGCAACCTCTTTGACATTAGCCATAGCAACTTCTTACTAGATACATTTCCGGAGGCAAGGGAAACAAAAGCAAAAAGGAACTATTAGGACCTCACCAGGGGGTGCCTGGCTCGTCAGTCGGTAGAGCATGCAACTTTTGATCTCTCGGTTGAGTTGGAGCCCCACTATGGGTGTAGAGATTAGTTAAAAATAAAATCTTAAAAAAAAAAAAAAGGACTTCATCAAGATAAAAAGTTTCGGTACAGCGAAGGAAAAACAAAATGAAAAGGCACCCTACTGAATGGGAGAAGATATTTGCAAATGACATATCTGATAAAGGGTCAGTACCTAAAACCTATAAAGAACTTAATTAAAACTCAACACCCAAAAAACAAATAATCCAATTAGGAAATGGGAAGAAGACATCCAGATGGCTAACAGACACATGAAAAGATGCTCAACACCTCTCATCATCAGGGAAATACAAACCAAAACTACAATGAAATACCATCTCATACCAGTCAGAATGGCTAAAATCAAAAACACAGGAAACAAAAGATGTTGGCGAGAATGTGGAGAAAGGGGAACCCTCTTACACTGTTGGTTGGGAATGCAAACTCATTCAGCCACTCTGAAAAACAGTATGGAGGTTCCCCAAAAAGTTAAAAATAGAGCTACCCTATGACCCAGCAATTGCACTACTAAGTATTTACCCAAAGGACATAAAAATACTGATTCAGAGGGACACATGCACCCTGATGTCTATAGCAGCATTATCAACAATAGCCAAATTATAGAAAGAGCCCTAATGTCCATCGACTGCTGAATGGATAAAGATGATGTGGACTATATACAATGGAATATTACTCAGCCATCAAAAATAATGAAATCTTGCCATTTCAATGATGTGGATGGAGCTATACTGTATTATGCTAAGCAAAATCAGTCAGTCAGAAAAAGACAAATACCATAAGATTGCGCTCACATGTAAAAATTTAAGAAACAAAATAAACATTTTTTTAAAGATTTTATTTATTTATTTGACAGAAAGAGACACAGAGAGAGAGGGAACACAAGCAGGGGGAGTGGCAGGTAGTGGGAGAAGCAGGCTTCCCACCGAGCAGGGAGCCTGACGCAGGGCTCGATCCCAGGACCCTGGGATCATGACCTGAGCCGAAGGCAGACGCTTAACGACTGAGCCACCCAGGCGCCCCCCAAATGAACAAAATTAAAAAAAAAAAGAAAAACAAAACATTTTTTTTTAAGACTTTATTTGACAGAGAGAGACACAGCGAGAGCAGGAACACAAGCAGGGAGAGTGGGAGAGGGAGAAGCAGGCTTCCCGCTGAGCAGGGAGCCCGATGAGGGGCTCGATCCCAGGACCCTGGGATCATGACCTGAGCCGAAGGCAGACGCTTAATGACTGAGCCACCCAGGCGCCCCCCCCCCCCCGGAAAAAGACTCTAAATACAGAGAACTGGTGGTTGTCAAGGGTAGGGGGATGGGTGAAATAAAGGGGAGTAAGAGTATACTTATTCTGATGAGCACTGAGCAGTGTAGAGAAATGTTGAATAATTATATACTTGAAACTAATATAACATTGTTAATGACACAATTAAAAAAAAGAAATGCACGAAGAAAAATGTATAAGGATAGTCACAATATCATGTTACAGAAAAAATAAAGTCAACAACTTTCACTAATAAGGAGCCCATTACATTATGATATGCATAGTACACAGCTATTAAAAAGAAAGAACTAGATCCATCTGTAGGAACAGATGTCCACAGTGAGAAAAGCAAGTTCCAGAGAGGTATTTATAGTGTAGCCCTATTTTTTGTTTTAGGTAAGCTCCATGCCAATGTGGGGCCTGAACTCACCACCCAGAGACCAACAGTCACATGCTCCACTGACTTAGGCAACCCAATGTATCCCGATTTTTATTAAAAAAAAAAAAAAAAAAGTGACCCCCCCCACCAAGTTCCCTATGTGTATCTGTACATTTATGTGAGCTTGAAGATGTGGAGAGAGACACACCAGCTATTTAAAAAAAAGAGAGAAAGATGGGGTGCCTGAGTGGCTCAGTCATTAAGCATCTGCCTTCGGCTCAGGTCATGGTCCCAGGGTCCTGGGATCGAGCCCTGCATCGGGCTCCCTGCTCGGCCGGAAGCCTGCTTCTCCCTCTCCCACTCCCCCTGCTTGTGTTCCCTCTCTCGCTGTGTCTCTCTCTGTCAAATAAATAAATAAAATCTTTAAAAAAAAAGAGAGAAAGAGAAACAAAGGCAAAGGTGGATAGTGTGAAAAGACTGGAGAAACTAAAAAGGAAAAACATTCAAACAAAACAGAGAGGTGTAAAGTCCCTCTCCTCTTATCCTGGTTCTCAGTCACACTCTTAACTTAGGAGTTTCTGTCATCTTTCCAGACACTATCCACATATATTGAATATATATGAATATATATACATATACATGAATACAGGGATACGTATCTCAAATATGTATAGTTTTACACATGAGGTCAAACTATACTGCTCTGTAGCTTTTCTATACATTTCTAAATTTACATATTAGATTTTCCATACTGACACATATACACTACTTTCTTTTACACAATATATAATATTCAGTGTTACTTTTAAAATTACAAAAACTAAGGGATTTTTAAAAAGCTTAAATGTTCAAGGAAGTACAAAGATACTCAAAAAGGGAAGATTTATTGCTATAAAGGGATTATAATCTTCCCTACAATGGAAGAAAATTCAGCACTGATAAAAGCAAAACTCATTGATACTGGAATTACGAAGGCAAAACATAAATTTTAATGGAAGATTAGTATAAAAAAGTAGAAACCATACACAACTGTAGAATAGTTAGTATTCAATGTGAAACATGCCACAAATTTCATGAGCAAACTACCATACCTAAACAATTTCAGCATCTCCACTACATTTTAAAATATCTTAGTAAATTTCTTATGGAGATTGTATAGCTTCAAAAATTTAGTTTATTAACAATAGATATCATGAGCTTTGGAGTTAGAGACCTGGGACAGAATGGCGGTTTCACCATATACTGC